TCAGCTAATTACAGAATACTTAATATTAATGTAGAAATATACAGTCGATAATATTGAAAGGGAAAACATGCCAAGAGTATACACAAAAGTGTAGAAGTATATTTATTTTAAGGCAAAATGTGGTGGTACACACTTGTAATCTATCAGAATGCTGAGGGAAGAGGATCTTAAGTCTGTGCCCAGCCTTAGAAAGATCCTCTCTCAAAACAAAAAATTTAAAAAGGGCTGAGGATAATAGCTTGATGGATTCAACTTGTAGATTCTAGGTTTCATCCCCAGAACCATAAAAAAGAAAGAAAAGAAGGAAGGAAGGAAGAAAAAGAGAAAAGAAAGGACTTTAAATATGTCTTATGAAATGAAAAAGGCAGGGAAATCAGCAGTGGCATGACACAGACTCGTGAATGTATCTGGAAAGGTTTTGGTGGTGCTGGGGATGGAGCTCAGGGCTCCTCATACACTAGGCAAGCTTCACCTCGGGTTGTCATGGGTATCAGGGCTTATAAATGGCAGTGATATGTTTTATGTCCTGATGAGGGGGTGTTGATCACAGAGCTGTATTTGCCAATGCAAGGCAAACTAAATGTCAAATAGGTACACTATGCTAATCTAGAAATAATATTTTAATAATTTTTTTAAATGTGAGCAGTACTATTAAATAAGGCAGAGAGAGACTGGCAGGAGCTATTTTCCATGTGTACCACCACAGGGTACTGTGCGGGTTTCTAACATACACAGCGTTCCCCTTCTTCACAGGGGATGCGTCCCAACAGGTGCCTAAAACCTCAGGCAGTAGGGATCGCTACAGTCATCCCTGAGATCTGCAGGGCATTGGTCCCAGGCTCCCCAGAGACACCAAATCCAAGGCTGTCCACGCCCCTTACACAAATGGTGCAATACTTCCCTAGAGTCTACACACATCCTTCTGTATACTTTAAATTATCTCCAATTACCTAAAATGCTTACTGCAATGTATATGCTATGCAATATGCTATTATACGCTATATGACATTTAAGGAATGACAAAGAAAAGTTTTGTATGTCTTCAGAACAAGTGCAATTTTATTTATTCATTTTTAGAGACATGAAAATGACTTATTACAGGTAGATATAGGTCACACTCAAGATCAGAGTACAGGTGCTCCAAGAAATTAGGTACCAACAAATGCAATCTTAAAAAATATTTTGATACAAGGTTAGTTGAATCTGTGGGAGCAGAAAATATGGATATGGGGGTAATGGTATATACTGTTTTTTCCTATGTATAATATACATATTTTTGTGGGTTGATTTTGGTTTTTTTGAGGGTCTTGCTATGTATTCCAGTGAATTCCTAATGTTCACTCTGTAGCCTAGGTTGGCCTCAAACTCATGGTGATCCTCCTGTCTCTGACTTTGGAGTATGGGAATTATAGGTGTAGGCCACCATGCCTAGTTTAATACAAACATATCTTTAATAAGGTTTAATTTATAAATTAGGCATAAGAGGTTAACAATAACTAATAAAACAGAACAATTATTATAATAAAATTGCCAGCATTACCACTTGTGTGCTTTAGGTCATTAAGGAAGATAAGGGTTCCATGAACACAAGCACTACAACTGCACCGCAGTTGATCTGAGGGTGAAGGGGGCTATTAAGAGCTGAAAGGGCAGGCAGCATATACAGTGTAGATACGCTGAAAAAAGGCATGATTCACAAGCTGAGTGGGCAGAGTTCTTCACACTGCTCAGAATGGTACACAACTGTCTTAGTCACTTTTCTATGGCTGAGACAAAATACTCGACACCCAAAGTTAAAGAAGGAAAAGTTTATTTAGCTCAGGTTATAGAGGTTTCAATCCATAATCATTCACCAGGGGTAGCCAACACCACAGATAAGTGGAGGACTGCAGTTGGCCTTCTAGAAACATGGATTCTGCATCTATAGATTCAACTCTATGATCAAAAACATTCGGGTAAGCTGGTAATATTCCTTAAACAATACCCTCAAGTAACTCACTTTATATTCACATTGTTTCAAGGCTTATACATAATCTAGCAATGATTTATCATATAATACCTGAAGACTGCACAGGTTCTATTCAAATACTATGCTGTTATACATAAGTGATTTATCAACAGGCCAAAAGTGGGCCCCAAAAAGAGGAAAAAAATTATCATGGACTGCTTGGAATACACAGAAAATAGTTAGTTAAGATGGTAAGAAGAGGTTTATTCTGGCTCACATTTTAAGCCCCTAGATGGCCAGTTCCAATGCAGGAAGCATTGGGAAAGGATCTAGGTGAGGAAATTACTCAAGTCATGGTGGCCAGGAAGCACAGAGAATGGAGGAAGGGAAGGAGATTCATCCTTCCAGGTCATATTCCCCAATAATCCTCCTTCTCACAGGCCCTACCTCAGAGCACCAAGTCAGCTGTTAGCCCTCTTAATTTAATTACCTCCCACAAGCCCCACCTGGGCACCAAAAAAGCCTTGGGGGGACATGCAGATCCAAACCACATCATAGGCACAACCATATTTTGGGAAGGAATAACTTCTCATATTCTATAGCACAGCAGGATGACTATGCTTGAAAACAGTTGACTATTTGAAAAGAGCTAGTGCTAAGAATTCTAAATATTCCCAATACAAAGAAACAAAGATCCAAACCTATCAATATACCAGTAGCCCTGCCCTGATCATTATATATCTTATACATGGACTGGTATGTCACATGGTAGCCCATAAATATGTGCCAATGTTATGTGTCCATTAAAAATAAAAATATATTTTTCAAAAACAAATAAATGCAATCATATCAGTTAAACGTCTGAGGACAGAATTAACATCCTGGTTATATTTTTATATCATCCCTATAAACCAATAAGAAAAAGGTCTAATGAAAGAAACACTGGCAAAGGATATAAACAGGAGATTCCCAGAGAAAGAAATCTAACATTATCATAGTAAATATGAAAAGATGCTCAACTTTCTTAATCAGGAAAACAGAAATACAAATTAAGTGACAAGTTACCATTTACCACTCATGGTAGGGCAAGCCACTCAGCGTAACTATTGGTCAGGAAAAGGAAACAGGAAGCCATGCATTGTTGCTGGAAGTGGAAGTGGGCTCCATCTCTTAGGTGAGAAATTTGGGAAGGCTAGGAAGTTGGAAGTGATCTCCTCCCCTGGTAGTCCCTGTTTCTTCCTCTCTCCTGAAGGCTTCTTCAGCAGTGCAGAGTAGAACAAGTACACAGTTTGTTTTGGGGGGCAGGTCTACTTCATTTCTATTAGAGAAACGGACAGTGACTTGAAGTTTAAGTATCCAGGCTAGATGGTGGCCAACCTGGAGTTAACTAGATGATGGTTTAAAATGAATGAACCAGATAGGTTACTGAAACATAACTATATCTCAAACAGAGATATAGTGGATCAAATGATCCACAAAAAAAGCAAGTTGGGACATGGCTCTGGATTGAACAGTCTCCTTCATATACATTTTAGAAATATGAAATACAGTAGTATGCATGGCTTGTGAAAGCACACATGGTTGGAAATGCATAAGGTGGTGGGTAAGGGTGGGGGCAGGAAGTGGGGGACCTGGCCTTATCGCCATCCATAATTTTCCATTTTCAAAGAGAGTTGTCACTGTACATATGGCCTCCTGTCCTCGTTGTCTTCCAAGGCAAGTCCACTCCAGGCCTCTGTGAACAAATATATTCTGCTGTTTCTTCCTTTGAGCTGGTTCCAGTTGGGTTTCATCCATAGTAACCGTGATACTGGCTTATTATCCTTGCCCCTTTTCCCTATTTTCATTTCATTCCCACTTCTTGTCCCAAGTCGCATTTAATAGACCTGTGTTTAAGTGCACCTGTCCAGAAAAAGAAGTCGCCACCGCAAAAGCTCTACGTTCTTTTTGGGGCATCTCTCATGGTTAGAGAAAGAACCCATAAAGGCACCAGATCTGAAACTCAGGGTAAACAATTCGCCCCTCCCCAGCTTAGCCTCAGTTTCCTCCTAAATGACCCGTCTGGCCCCTTCCAGCCCTAACCCTGAACGATTCCAGGAATTCTATCCTTTCATGTCGAAAACAACACTCAGGATTTCACAAAAGCACCCCCCCCGCCCCCCCCCCCCCCCCCCCCGCTACCCTTGGAACCACACAGCCCGCGTCCCTGGAACCCGGACTGCACCGCGCCGGTCACATGAACTCCGGGCTTTCTCTGGTGTGACGGCTTTCTTAGATCCCTTTGTGAGCGCAGGTTTTGAAAGCCAGCGACCCCGGGTTCTGGCTTGGGGAGCACAGGCGGCCGGCGGGAGGACGCTGTCGGAGCCGATCGACCCGCCTCCAGCCCGCCCGCAGCGCGTCGGCCCCCGCGCACCCCGCACTCCGCGCGCCCGCTCCGGCCTGGCCCGAGGGCGCCGGGCCGCGAGGACCCAGGTGAGAGAGAGGCCGGGGGCCCCGGAGAGAGGCCGGCGGCTCGGCGGGCTGCACGACGGGCCGCGGGCTCAGGGCGTGTCCGTCGCCGCCTGGCTGTTCGTTCACCACTGTTCGCTCCTACCGGCTGTAGATGGTGCTGTCTGGGTTCCGGCCGCCTCCGACGAGCCCGGCGCGTCTCTCTTTAAACGGCCTGAGCGCGACATGCCTCCCAGGATGCAGTTTGGATCAACATGGCAGCTGCGGTGCGGCAGCCTTGCTAGAGACGCGCCGGGACGGCCGCGCAGCTCGAAGCCGGGCCGGGGGCCGCAGCCGGGGTCGCCGCAGCGGGGCGGCGCGCGGGCCGGGGGCGGCTGCTGAGGGCCGGGGCCCAGCTCGCGGCCGGGGCGCAGCGCGCGCCCCGCTCCGACGTCGCTGCCGCCGCCACCGGGCTCCGCACTCCCCACGCTCCCCGCGCGTCCGCAGCCCGCAGGCCGGGGCCCGACGGCCGCGCGAGCCCGCCGAGAAGGGGGACGCCGAGCCCCGCGGCGGCGGGGGCCGGGCCTGCGCGGCGTAGCGCGGCGGAGGCTCGCGGGCCCCGGCGGACAGCGCACAGCCATGGCCGAGGCGACCGCGGCGCCGGTGAGGGCGGCCCGCGCGCGCACGGACGCGCGGCCTCGGGGCTCCGGGGACGGCCTGCGCGGCGCGGGCTTGGCGGCCCGGCCTGGGGTCTCGGTAAGGGACGGGGCCGCCGTAACGGGGGCGGGCAAGAGGTGCCCCGCGGGGTCCCGGCGGGCAAGAGGAGGGGGCGCGATGGGCCGGACGCACGCGGCCCCGAGGTGGGGCCGGGCGGCGCGCTGGCTCCCTGGGGCTGGCGCGGAGTCCGTCGGGGTGACCGCGGCTCGCTCGTTTTTCCGCAGCGCTCGGCCCCACCGAGCCTAGCCCTGGGCCCGGGCGCAGCACTGACGCGGCGCTCCCATTTCGCGGAGCGGGGACACTGAGGCACCGAGCACGGGCGGCGACCTGCCCAGCCCTCCCCAAGGTCACGCAGCGAGCCCTCTGCACACGGCGTTCGCGGCCAGGAGAGGCCTGACGGGCTGGCAGCGGCCTGGACGGGAGGGGGATGGCCCGAGGCGGCCCCGCGGCGGCCAGGACCCGTCGGGGAAGAGCAGGGGAGATCAGGCATCGCCCAGGGGAAGCAGTGGGGACCAGGACCCTTAGGTCCGGGACTCTGGCCTGGGCCTCTGGGTCCGGAGGCCCTCGGGCAAACTTTGGGTCTGACGCCTGAGGTCTAGGGAGCTGGCTCCAGGGGTGCTAGAGGATGGTGTTTCTCTGCAGGAGGCTGTTCTTTAAAATCCCCAAACCTGCCTTGGGAATGCTCTGGCTTCGTGAGCTGGGAAGTTGACTGCTTGGGGGTCTGTGCCTTGAACCTCAGTTTCTTGCTGTGTGCTAGAAGGGAGAGGGAGATATGGCTTTCCATGAAGATCCTAGCTCTTAAAATAATCATAATAAAACTATTGGGAAGTTAAGAAAAATAAAAGGAAGATTTTACAGGCCTGCATGTGGGCTTAGGTCTCCAGAGTATGGAGATCTCCGGTGTAACCGAGGGGGGAGCGGGCTCCTGGGCTGGGCTGGAAGATGACATGGCCTTCATAATAAGGCAGATACTGTGTCTACGGGACTCTGCTGGTTTCTGCTGATGTGGCTCAAATACCAGAGACCGAGCCACTTACCTATGTGCAGGAGGGAGGGTAAATCATGTGGAATATGGCTGAGAAGAATTCAGTAGTTTGAGGATTCGAGCTTATTCCTTTGGAATATATTTACTGTACCTCTCCTTCGCCATTTCATTCTGCTTAGAGTAAGACGAAGCCACAGGTTGACTGGGACTGCTGAAATTGCAGTACGGGGCTCTTACTTGTGACCCCTCATCCCTTCCCAGGTCTCCACATCCAAAATGGAGACAGTCTAATAATAGAGAGCAAAGGAATAGTATTTTCCATTGAGCTCTGATTGACTGGTTATTTAAAATGATTTGCTTTGGTGGCCTTATTCATTATAAGAGAGGTTTTTTTTTTTTTTTCATTGTTAAGTTGAACTCCTATATTAGGAGGGCTTTGGGGATTTTCCCCCCTTCCTAGGTTGTAGGCCAGTACTGTAATCCCCATCCAAAGACAGGACCTGCTATGGGTACTTTGCCATTCCTAAGCACCTTGAAAGACCCACCAGTCTTGGCTTCTGTGCTTATAGAGAAAGGTGGGCGGGAGGCATAATTGTTGGTGAACCTTCAGATTCAGGGGGTCTGCAAAGTTCTTAAGTGTTGGCAGAGTTTTCTGTTTGTGCCATTAGGGGGTTTTGAGAAGGAGAACCCAGAATAATCCTTAGATTTTCCAGAGAGTATCAGACCCCATGTTACGTGGCAGTATCTTTAAGGGAATGGCCTTCCACAATTCCTTCCCTACTCACAGCAAACCTTTTGCTCATCTGGATTGAACCAGGAAACCTCTGATTGCAACCTTAGACTTCCCAGTGGTTTGAGGCCCAGAGGCCACCTAGGGTCTGCGGTATGTCCCATGGCAAGTTACTTAGCCTCTCCTATTAATACCTCTAGTAATACCTATTTCTTAGGGCTTTATGAAGATTAAATGAGATAATCCTTTAGTGTTTAACATAGCTCGTGGCATATAAATCTTAAATAGATGGTAAGAACTCTGGGCTAATCAGCTCTCATATCACGGAGCTATTGGACTCTACTTTCTCAGACATCTTTTCTGGACAGGGTCTTGAATCTTCAGTCCTTAGCTTACCATTGTGATAAGGTTTCAGTTAAGCCATCTACATGTGAATAAATAAACAAATAAAAGAAGGAAAGCTAGAGAAGATAGATAAGTCTTTGGTAAATCACTAAAGGAACTTTATTACTTATCCCAATTATTTTTGGTAATGTGGCCATTTACTTTTGGTTCTTTCAGATGATACCTTTTTTTTTTTTTTTTTTTTTTTTTTTTTGAGACAGAATTTCACTATGCGGTTCAGGCTGACCTCACTTTGCAGCCTAGGCTGGCATTCAACTCAGCAATCCTCCTGCCTCAGCCTCCTAAGTGCTGGAACTGCAGGCTTGAGCCAACACATCTGGCCAGCAGTTATTTATTGAGCACATACTGTGTGTCAGACTGGACACCAGGGATATTCTGATTTTTAAATAGAAGTGGAAGTTTTGTGTACTAAAAAGATTACTTGTGCAAGCACAAGGTCCTGAGTTTGATTCCCGGTACAAAAAAAAAGGTTACTAGTATATAGAGTATAGTAATTGAGCAGATTCACTGAAAAGGAAAATTACAAGGAGATGGACAAAGTTTACAGCAGTAGTTACCTTCAGCTCCAGTAAAGATTTTGATTGTTGGGCCTAGGGGTTTAGCTTAGCGGCGTTAAGTACCTACCAGGCAAGCACGAGGTCGTGAGTTTGATCCCCAGTACCAAAACAAAGATATTGATTGTCTGGCTAGGTAAATACAGAACAGACCATTCACAGCAGAGTACAGCTTTGCCTTCTTGATGGTCTAAGAATTCTTCCAGCAAGATGTGGCATAGTGGCAACCAGAGAGACAACCATCCTTGAAGTCCCAAAAGGAAACTGGCTTTTATGCTAGTTCTGGTCCTTGTCACTCTTGACACAAATCTCCAGCCTGGCTGAGTTCCCAGCTGCTCATTTCTCCCTGTCTTCCTCATTCTCCACCTTGGAAGCCACAGGGAAGCAGCAGCCCGCCCACTGCAGGGGGCCATCTGCCCTGGAGACCTGGCTGGCTGCTGCTCCTCCTCCATGTCTCTCTCCTTGAGCGGTAGAAGCCAACACACGAGGGGCACCATGCCTGTCTGCGACACTAGTCACTGATGCAAGGGTTGGATAGTTAAGTCCACCTTGGAGTTGGGCCTATTAAGAACTGAGGGCCGCAACAGTGAACCCAAATCACCATCTTTCTGGGAGTTGAGAGATAATAGCAGTGCTTGCCCTTCCTAAAACTGCTCAGAAGTGTTTTGTCATTGGTTTTTATTTGGTTTTTCTTGAGACAGGGTTGCTATACAGTTCAGGCCTGCCTCATAACTCAGGGTAAGGGGACCTTAGCCTCCCAAGTGCTGGGGTTATGTCTCTAAGTCTTATTTGAAGCAGCACTCGGTTAAGCTATGAGGGGCACATGTATCAGGTATTATTATCCTTGGTTTATGGCCAAGGAAACGTAAGAACAGTGAGGTCTAATGACCAGGCCAGGGCAGCACAGGCAGCAATAGGGGTAGCGAGGGCCAGCATCTGACCGCTGTGACTCACATCCGGCCCCCTTACCTGTTGTGAAAGAGAGGTTGATGGCTCCGTGGAAAGTGGGGGGGGGGGGGCGGGCGGCTATCTTTTATTTATTGCTTGTCATAGTTTTATAGTTGACATTTAAATCCGCGCCAGTCTCAAAAAGCACTTCCCATATGTGGAGCACATCTTCCTGCTACAGTGACTGAGGGTTTCGTGCGGATGCTTGCTTTGGGATTTGTTTTCCTAGTTGGAGACATGGCCTTCAATTCCGTCTTCTCCTTTCTGTTCTTGGACACAGGTCCCACAGCTGGACATGGAAAACCAGCGTTCCTCGCCTCTGCCATTCTCTAGTGCTCCCCAAGAAGGCTTGCACCAGGTCACAGCTGGACTCTCCCAAGACACTCTGTTCTCATCCCGCATCCCTCCCCCCAAAGAAATTCCGGCTTTGTCTCCCACTGGTACCCGGCAGGGCCCCCTGTCTCAGACCAGTGCAGCCAAGCAAGAGACCTCTGGCCAGATGCCGCATGTTCCCCCAAAGGGCCCATCACTCCTCTGTCCTGCTGCTTCTGAGCAAGAGACCCATCTCCAGGGCCCCCAGGCCACACAGGAAGAACCCCGGTACCCTGCTGACCAGGACCTCTCTCTCCTCTCCCACTCCGCCCACCAACAGGAAGCCCCGCTGCACTCCCCAGAAGTTCCTGAGAAGGACCCTCTGAGCCTCTCCCCCTCAGTTCCTGAGGCTGACATGGACCCTCTGCTTCAGAGCCCCACGTCCCAAAAGGACACTCCCTTCCCGAAGGAGCAGCTGCTCCCCACAGCAGAGATCACCCGCTTGGCCGTGTGGGCTGCCGTCCAAGCGGTGGAGAGGAAACTGGAGGCCCAGGCCATGAGGCTACTGACACTGGAGGGCAGGACAGGGACAAATGAAAAAAAGATCGCCGACTGCGAGAAGACAGCTGTGGAGTTTGCAAACCACCTGGAGAGCAAGTGGGTTGTGCTGGGGACGCTGCTGCAGGAATATGGGCTGCTGCAGCGGCGGCTGGAGAACATGGAAAACCTGCTGAAAAACAGAAACTTCTGGATCCTGCGACTGCCCCCAGGCAGCAATGGAGAAGTCCCTAAGGTATGCCCATCCCAACAGAAGCTTCCCAGGGAACCTGTCTGAATTGAAACATGGTTTAACACTTTAATTGAAAGAAAGAGAGAATTATGGCTGAGGAAAAACAGTTAGCTAGCCATGGTGGTACAGGCCTATAATCCCAGAATTCTAGCAGGCTAAGGCAGTCTGGACAATTTAGTGACTTAGAGAAATCCTATCTCAAGACAAAGGATGAAAATGTAAAATGGGTTGGGGCCCTGGGCTCAGTCTTCAGGACTGCAAATAAATAAATAAAAGCTTAGAAAAATATCTGTGGATACACACAGAGTAGGACAGTAATGTCCCAGGGTGCAGGACTGTCCTTACAGGTGGGTATTCAGGAGAGCTCTCCCCGATGTTGAAGGCATACAGCAAAGCACTGTAGGGGCTTGGGCTCGGTCAGCCCTCCATAACCTCAGGTGCGGCCGCCGTGTGTTAGGTGTGTTCCACAGATAAAGCTTGCCGTACTGAACAGTATGGGTGTCATTCCCTAAGTAGACCAGTGTAACTCTTTAGGGAGCGTGTGTGACACAGTGGGTGCCACACATCAGCCAGAGATGATCTGAAGTATGTGGAGGATGTGTGCAGGCTATAGGCAAGAATACTAGTGCATCTTTGCATCTAGGTGTCCTCGGGTGTCAAGGTACCAAGAGGTACCAAGGACGACTACAGATAAGCCGTTAAATAGAGGTCCACTGACAGATAGACGGGGAGTGTGTGGATCACGTGTTACAAGCTGTATCCCACTCAACTTTTCTTTTGTGCTCATACACCTTCCTTGGTCACCTTTACTGTGCCTGGGGAACAGCTCCAAGAGGAGGTTAATAACCTGGAGTGAGGAAGTAGAGAACTGGATGAGAAGAAAGACAGGGATAAGGGAGTCTCCTGGGGCTCACGTACGTCTCCCATACCCCTTGGAGACCTGAGCCTAGCTGGCCTTTTTTTACCATTTCCCTTATAAATTTTGTTAATGCCAGAACATCCGATTTCGAGAGATATCTTTAGCAAACTAGAGAATGGTAAGGTTTGCATTATTTTCCAGAAGGTTCTGAAGGGGCACAAGTGTGCATGCGTTTCCTTTCCGTTCCTGCTGCTTTGGGCAGTCTTACATTCAGAGCAGCAGCCTGTGTCTCCAGGCCAGCTTTTCTCTAACCTTCTCATGTGCTTGAACCCCAGGCACCCTACCAAACGCAGCCTGATTCAGGGGGTCCCAGGTGGGGCCTGAGAGTACGGGTTTCTAGTACATTCCTAGCTGATGCTGTTGCTGCCAGTCCACAGACCATGCTGTAGAGAAGTGACAGGTATCCTGTGAGAGCCATGAGCAGTGGCACACATGTCATCCCAGTACTCTGGGAGGCCAGGGCATTCCCAGTTCGAGCCCTGCCTGGGCCACTTAGTGATTTAGCAAGACCTGGTCTACAAAAAAGGGTTGCAGGATGCATCTCAGTGTGAAGGCCCTACTGGGTTCCATCTGCAGTACCTGAAAAAAAACAGAATAGCTATCCTGAGAGAGAGGTAAGGATGAGGCAAAAGGGACTGCCACTCTTGTGCCGAGGATCACGGCTGGGCTGGGGTCTGTCCCGCCCAGTCTTGAGGTGTTCGAGCTGGGCTGGGGACACTGAGCCCTAGTGCTGGAAGCCTGCAGCTGCTGTCTATTAGGGATGAGCTGACCTTCCTGTGTGGTTTCAGGTCCCTGTCACATTTGACGACGTCGCCGTCCATTTCTCAGAGCAGGAGTGGGGGAACCTATCGGAGTGGCAGAAGGAACTCTACAAGAATGTGATGAGGGGCAACTACGAGTCTCTGGTTTCCATGGGTAAGGACATGGCTTCTCTTGCCAGGGCCACCTTTACACCGGCATAGGATCCTTTCAGAAACCTGGGGAGTCTGAGCCCCAGAATAGTGATAGTGAAGACCAGGGAATCAGAATAAACACAGGTTTCAAACCAAAATAGGCCTTGTGGTCACGGTAATTCCACAGGGACTCTTTACTTAAAATCAGCTTGTCTGGCATCTTTTACTAAGGAATAGGATGGAGGAAAACCAGCGTGCCCAGTGCCCACCGTGACCCTGTAGCACATCAGGCACCCCTGAAGCCATTCGTTCAGCCTCACAGCTCTGTCACCAAGGCTCCTGTTTGCTTAGTTGGTGAACACTGTCACTCACTGAGTGATGGGTCCTGGTCTGTGTTGTGCAGAGAAGGGGCCAGGACAGGGAGGTTAGGGGCCCATCCCAGGTCCCCATCGGGAAACCATAGCCTAGCTGAGATCTGTCTGACCCTACTGTCAGTGGATTCTTGCCATTATATTAATGTTTGGGGACACAAGCCTGAAACAATATCCCTTTTTTTCTGATGGAGAACTCTTTAATGATACATACTGAAAAAAAATTAAATATTAAGTGTGCTGTTGGGTAGAAGCTTGGTTTTCCCTGGCGTTGTTCTTTCCACACACACCTTTGTGTGGGATGTCTTTCTGTAGGACAGCGTCCCCCCTTCCACACACACACACACACACACACAAACTGTGAAAATGCAGTGTGACTAATATAATAAAGAGTGCCCCAGCCCTCACCAGTACCACCCCCAGATGAAATCACCAGGAACACTTTAGTTTCTGTGATTCCTCATCCTTTCTTCGTGAATGCAGACATGGGCAGTGTGTGGCCTGCTCCACCTGCAGCCTGCAGTGTGGGGTTGGTGCAGATGGGCTGTAGGCACCTGTCCCCGCCACAGGCTCCTTGGAAGGGCAGCAGAGTATCTGGGCGATCATAAGGCCTTTGGGCTTTCTGCTGTTGATGCATAGTGGTTGGTTTTGTTTTTCTCCTTGTTTTTGCAATAGTGTTGTAAACAGCTCTGCATGTACGCTCACATGAATGTCTCAGCAGCACACATGCAGAGAAATAGGCCCTGGAGTAAACAGGGTGCACATTTGCAGTTTTGTGGCTCCTACTGTGGAGCCCCAGAAGGCCAAGCTGGTATTTCTGCAGCGACACCATTTTTCCACACCCTGGCCTGATCTTCTGGTCTTCAATTTTAAATATTTGTCTTTTTTGATGGATAAAAAAAATCATGCCTCAGTATTTTAGTATTTATTTCCTTTGATGCTTAGTGAACTTGTGCATATTTTTATACATTTATTGGTTTGTATTTTTCTATGAATCACCTATTCGTATCTGGGCATCTTTAATTTTTAATAATTGTAGAGATTTTTTATATCTACAATGATACATATTGATCCTCTAACAAGTACATATGTGTGTAATACTTCTGCCAAGTTTCTTCATCTTTTATTTCCAAAGAACTTTAAACTTTTTGGTTGCTAAATGGAATACAGGGCCCTGTGTGTGCTGAACACACACTCTGCCATTTCACTTGTAGTTCCTGTATTTATTTCATACTAGTAAGTATAGAAACTTACTAGTATTTTTATGACCTTTGAGTTTTATCAGGGTTAGTTTTTTACTATACAAATTTCCAAGTATCATGTGCCTTTGCTGTGAAGACCCTGTGTAGACACTGATGCCCAGGAGCAGCACACAACACCCCGTGGGTCAGACAGTTGACCATTTCCTTTCTAATGCTGCCAGACCCCAGTTGTTTCTGGATTATCCTGGGCCACGATCCCTCAATGACACCTTAACAGCATGCAGGGCCACCTCATCCCATAGTATGTTTTCTTTCCTTCCTTTTGTCCAGACTATGCAATTTCCAAACCAGACCTCATGTCCCAGATGGAGCGTGGAGAGAGGCCACCCATGCAGGAACAGGAGGACTCTGAAGAGGGCGAGACACCCACTGACCCCAGTGCGGGTGAGTGGTGAACGGGTGGCCTGGAGCCCTGAGCCGTAGGTCTTTCTACACTTGAGGGCCCAGCAGCGGCATCACAGGCTGTGGGGGCTGGCGGTGCAAGAAGGAAGCCTGCATAGGACCCCGTGGTCACTTTTGGTCTGTGTTATTGGTAAATAGGGATGTTGTGGGTTCACTGTCTCAGGGATGTTTTGAGGTGACCCAGTGTCACTCTGCTCTGTGTAGGGAGTAAAAGAAGAGTCAAAGAAAGGCATTCGTGTGCAGGGCACAGGCATTAGAGCTTCCCAGGGATGGGCAAATCCTGAGTCCTGTGCTGCTTAGGGAACAGGTCAGGCAGGTGGGGACCTTGTTGGAAACTTCCACAGTGCAGGGCTCCAGCAGAATGGTGTCTGCACAGAGTGATCAATGGGGTCCATAGCCATGTGGCCTAGAGTTTTCCCTGGCACCAGGCTGCCTGCATCTGAACCCCGCTCCTCTGCTTCCTCGTAGCACTGATTTTCTTAGACTCTCACTGTCCTTGTCTGTAGGGTGGGAGCAGGATCTGCCCCTTGGCCTGGCATGGGACTTGCTTGTTGCAGGAGCCCAGGGAGCACAGCTGTGGTCAGTGCCCAGGGGCCATCCCTTTACTGCAGCTGCACGTGTTCACCACTGCCGTTTCTGGAGGCCATTTAGTTTCAGTGCGTGTGCTCTGTAACTGCCCTTGCACTTGGCCACGTGTCTCACAGGTCTTCAGGAAAGACATACCTGGTCTTAGTGGGCACACGTGGTGGCAGGAACAGCCTGGTGTCACTGAAGGTCATGTCTGTCACAAAAGGCTGCTAGAGAATCAGTTTGCGGCTAACAGGAACTAGGGTCATTAATTTGGGAATCTTCAGGCTGAGCTACAGTGCCAAGTAATGTCATCCCGTGCACTAATAGGGAAGGGACAGCCACTGTAAACCCACTGTCACCACCAGTAAGGGTTTCCCTGGAAATTTAAATGCAAAGGAGAGGCTGACTGTGCCTTCATCCTGACAGACAAAAGAGATTCATTTCAGAGCATAGGAGGATGAGAGGCTGGAGTCACAGTGCGGTCTATGGCAGGGTGATCTTTTGGTTGGAGAAATAGTCTGCGCCTTGAAGGGTTAGGTGGCCACATCTGAAAAAGGGATAGAGTGGTGAGAGGTAGAAAAACAGGAAAAGAGGTAGAAATAAGAAAGAAATAGGCAGAAGATGAGAATTCTGCAGAGGTGACTCATAGTAAAAAAACCCAGAACACAGCCGACATCCCAACTAGTTGAGAGGCCCAGGTACAACTCAGCATATTCTTAGAAAGCCGGAGACTGGACATGGTGGGCTATCCCTATAGTCCCAGCACTCTAGGAGGCTGAGGCAGGAGGATCAGAAATTTTTGGCCAACCTGAACAATTTAGGGACTTAGACCCCATCTCAAATAAAAAAGGACTGGGGGATGTAGCTCACTGTGAAACCCTTGGATTCAATCATTAGTTACCCCTCCCCCCCCCAAAGAAGAGGGTTGTGATGAGGGAGCATCAATCTTTCTGTGTCCACGTTTCATGTCCCATTGAAGATGGGCTTCCCATGGAATGGGGTCAGAATTGAAAAGCAAATAACCTCAGTCCACTGCCCCAGGCAGACTTTGTTCCAGCACCACATGTCCATGGCCTGGACTGTTACCGGGAGGTAGAAGCCTTACAGAGGTGTCCTTGTGTGGCTGAGCTGTGCCACTTTTCCAGGAGCCAGGGGCACAGGCACTGCTACTGCACACGGTGGGCATTCTCACGTGCACACACACACACACACACACACACACACACACACACACCCTGTGCTCAGCCAGAGCTCTACAGTTGCTGGATGTGAAACACAGCAGAGGTAGAATCCTCTCCATGGTTTCTCTTCCTGCATCTTCTAGCTTGGCAGGAGGGCAACAAAGCCAAGCTGGGTCAGACCCAGGGCTGGGACACCATGAGGAAGAGTCTAGAAAACTAAGAACTGTCAAGGATCCATAAGACACCACAGTGTTTGGAGCTGACTATGTAAATGCACTCAGCAAATTCTTATCAAACTGGGTGGATCCCACCAGGGGAGAGATCCAAGAGAATTCAGATATCAGCTCAGCTCTCAAGGCTCAGCACAGGGTGTACTGTTCTCCAGGCCTGCTCAGTGGCCAAAGGGCCCAGAGAAGGTGCCCAACTCTGCCCAGCACATTGGCACCAAAACAGTGAGCCAGAGGGCACTGCTGGAAGACGTGTTTGTGGATAGTGCCGCCAGCATACATTGTTGCTGTCTGTTTAGAAAGCAGTTTGATGCTCTCTAGACTCAACAATAAAATATTTAAAATAGTCATACACTTGACCTAATAACTTCCTCTGACAGTCTGTAGCATGGAAGATAACTCAAATATAGACTAAGATGTGCTACTGTACACCTCACCACCACAGGACTGGGAGTGGAGCCCAGGGGTAGAATGCTTGCCTTGCATGTGCAAGACCCTGAACTCCATCCCCAGAATCACAGAAGCAAATATGAAATTTCACCTTACAGTAGGCCATCTGCAGCCATCTGCAGCCACTGGAATAAAATTTGCCACCGCTGTGTTTCACTTACAGTTTTCAGCTGGTGGCAGCAGGGGCTCTGCAGCATCCAGGAAGGACCTAGTGACTGGTAGGTGTGACCAGGAGGGAGAGGAGGTGCCACGGTTGTCCCAGGACCCAAGTTTAAGTAACATAAAATGGTGAGCATGAGACTTGGATTTGGAGAAGCATTGAGAATTTGGTTTTGAAACCATTTGACTTGAGATCCTTGTAAACACCAACGAGCCTATTGAGAAAGCCACTAACTAGAGTTCAAAAACAGGTGGTGGCTCATACCTGTAATCCCAGAACTCTGAGAGGCTGAGGCAGGAGGATCACAAGTTCAAGTCCAGAGGGGGCAATTTAGTGACTTAGGGAGACTCTGTCGCAAAATACTAAAAAAATTTTAAAAAGGGATGTGGTTCCACACAAAGGCCCTAGGGTTAATCTCCAGTACTGCAAAACCAAAAACAAAACATAAAAACAGGTCCCAGCTGGAGACACTTGCCACTGGGACATTTGGGTGCTGATGGTGTAGACAGATTGGCTTGGTCTGCAGAGGAGACCAGACACAGCTCTCCCTGCAGTACTGTAACTCGAAGAGTCTGGGGGATCTGCAGCCTATGGTGGGCTACAGCCCAGCTGTCCGAGTTCTTTAAAAAGCTTCAGAGGTGACTTTTTGTATAACCAGGGCAGAAACCACTGCTGGAGGTTGGGAAAGGAAGCAGGAATGAGAGGAACAGAAGGAAATGGAGGGTTGAGGTGGGGTTGTGGGTGTCAGAAGGCAGTGATGAATTCTCCCACAACATGAAGTGACACAAAGCCCACAGAGTGTCCAGCGGGAGTGGGCCTGGTTAGTGGGTGAGGGTGGCCCAGGAGAGGAGGGGACGCAGCCTGCATGGCAGTGTCTCTGGTCCAGCTGTGAAGAGGGAGTCATTGGGATTTAAGCGCAGCTCCTGGTGTCTCTAACATACGGGTGTTTCAGACCTGTTTGAGATGGGGCAGGGTGGCTTAGTTGATAGTAGAAGCCACGGTGTAGAAGTAGGAAGTGGAAATACAGCGCAAAGCCAAAGATATGACTGGACAGAAGCTTACCAAGATCATATTTCTACATAACTTGTAAAATTTTTCTGATGAGAGCAGATATGCTTCTTACTCTGTGAAAATATTTTTATGATTCGTTTGTTTATGTGGTACTGGGACTTGAACCCAGGACTTTTGCATTGAGCACTACACCCCCAGCCCTTTTTTATTTTTTATTTTGTTCAGGGTCTTAGTCACTCAGGTAGGATTTGAATTTAAGATCCTCCTGCTTCTGACTTCCAAAGTGCTGCAAATACAAACATGCACTGCTATCCAGGCAGTAAAAACACTTAGAGCAGCTGAGCATGGTGTAACCTGCAAATCCTGCCTCTGGAGGCTGAGGCAAGAGGATTGATGTGAGTTCAAGGCCAGCCTGAACTACATAGCCAGACTCCTGTCTCAGGAAACCAAAACTACATGGTGAAAGACGTTGCACTAAAGGTGGCTGAGTGAGTATGTTGGTTCCTTTCTCTGCCCCAAGACTTCTACCAAGAAGGGACAAGGACACAACAGCAATACAAATTTGGAAGCTTGAAAGCAGATGGGCATATGATTGTTAATTTAGAAAACCAAAACTCAGATGTCTGGAAATGAGGCTGAAGATGAGGTGAAACCAGCGGACTGGTTACATGTCTGTTAGCAAGGTGTGGCAGAGCATGCCTGTAATGCCAGCACTCTGGGAGGCTGAGGCAGGAAGATTGTAAGTTCAGGTCCACCTGAGCAATTTAGCAAAACCCTGTCTCATCAGACAAGAGCTGGAGGGGCCAGGATATCGCTCAGTGGCATAAGTGCCTGCCTCATAAGCACAAGGTCCTGAGTTAGAGTCCATCCAAAAAAGAAAAAGATAAGGGCTGAGGATCGAGGTCAGTGCAAAGGCACTGTATTCAATCCCCAGTACAAAAACAAAGAAAAAAGACAGCTAAAATCCTCCCGTTCCACACTTTCTGCAGTTAGCATCTGCCACTCCCCTCCCCTGGCACTCAATTGAGGGTTGATCTCTGGAGAGGGGAACAGGAGGGTCTGTGCCAGGCACCAGGCACAAGAGTGGCCTTGACACCCACCATACAGACTGTGGACATGAGTGCGGCTTCACTTCTGGGGTCTCCAGCCTTGCCCCTAACATGGCTTCCAGGGATGCCAGTATCCAGGGTTAAACGCTAGCAGGGTCTTATTTAGACACCCAAGATGCTTCACAGTAAAATGACCTGGCCAATACTCACACCTGTAATTGAAGCACTCTAGAAAGTTCAAGGCCAGCCTGGGCTACATAGTGAGACCATCTCAAAAAAATAAATAAAATGACCTGATCAGAGCATCCTATAAAGAGCCCTTATAATTAACAAG